GGTTCCCAGATTACTGTAATCTTTTATAGCACTCTCACATTCAGTTCTCTGAAACGTAATAAGAGTTGTATTTGGCCATTCATCACAACTGTAGCAATTCCATAAGGTATCATCAGATGCTAAATACCAGTGCTCTGCAGTTGAATGCACCAAAGAGAAGTTCATGGGCTCAAGTCTCACATATTGCAAGGGTTTAATCCAACACAATTGTACTCTCAAATGGCTGAAATAAGCCTCAGGGTATGAGCAGGCTGGAGTTCAAAGTAATTTTTATCCCTGTGTGGTTGTGGTAGAGTTATGTTTGATAGGTATTCATATTAGAAAGCTTAAATCCATTGAGAGATATTTTAAGCAGAACTGCTTTAGCAGGAAATAAAACATCCATGTCCATACATCATGTATGCATGTGTTAATAGGTTCATGTACATGTACGATTTGCTTTGCTTTACAATTAGACCATACACTGTTTCTCCAAGTATATTACGCCATTGGATTTACATTTCATCAAAGCTTTTCGGGCATGTCTTTGTCCAAAACATCCTGACAAATACAGCAAATAGCTATCTCAGTAGCAATGTATGTCTATTGCCATCTGCCTGATGCTCTTCCCCTCCACCCTGGTTATCTTGATAAAGGGGCTGTTCAGGACCCTAGCCTTCATTTCTCCCCCAACAGCAAAAACTGCATGCACAACAAGCAGCAGACTGAAAAATTATGTTCACGCCTTGACCTTGAGACTTCCTGAACCAGTTTGGATTGGCTCTCCCTTTGAAACAACAGGCTTCCACAGGAAGTTCATAAATGGGCCCAAATCACAGCAATTGACGTAGTTTTAGTATTTTTAACTTGGTTCTTCAAGAACCACCTAAAATGGGCGGCGTTTCATGGACACAAAGAACTGGTCAGCTTTTCCAAGAGCAAGCGTCAGTGTGCTGGGTGCAATGCAAACTGTTGAAAGCAGAGTGACTAATGGGTCCTGCTAACGCAGCTTCTGCTGAGCACTGCTGTGGGGACGTGGCTGTGTGCGTTGTGAAGCTGCACTGTACTCCGTCATGTCCCAGTGTCAGCACCACTAGGGCTCCCAACACTCTAGGCAGCCAACATCTCCAAAGAGCTAAACCACAGGCCTGTGTCCCGGAGCCCCCAGTTTCAGGCACGTTTGGATCCACAGCTTAAGCACTGATGCAGTCTCTTTCCCCAGGTCACACTCGCTCACCTCCCCCACCCCTGCCAATGCTCACCTCTCTCAGAAAGAGAAAGCACTGTACATCATTCTTGTCTTAGAAATGGTTTGCAAGACTCATTCAGAGGTGTTAAAGAAAAGTCCTTTTACTCCCTAAGTCTGAAATATCGAAAGAGGGATGTGTGAAATGCCCATGGTTTGTTCCATTCACAATGATGGGGAGAGGACCAGAAAAAACAAATGTTGCAAAGAAACAGGAGTGTTAAATCTTTAGAAGGAGAATGATGGATTAAAATGGACATGAAAACCTTGCTTTTAAGATGTTTATCTTTTTCACACAGCTCTAATAAAATGCAATTGCATTAAAGACATTCCTTTTCATTCATTTGCTTTGCACCTTGTTTTCTCATTACCTGTTTAATGCAAACTTAATGGAAAACACTCTTCTTATTTACATCTCTGCACTCCACTGATTCTATGCTATAATCTGATGACAGACTCAAATTCAAATTCAAAGGTCTTGAGTGTATTGCTCCTATGTAACTATGAAAAGGACAATTTCTTGTTTGCAAATAATCTAATGGAATGGGATGAAAGAGAGTTATTAATGTTTGCAATGCATATGATTTCAGACAAAGCTATTTAATTCATTTATAAATCAGCAGGTCTGTCAAAGGGCCATAATGATAGGCTTTAAAACAACTTTTAAAATTAATTGTCTAGTCTGATTAGTTAATGATTTGGGATTTCCTGCTCTATACTTAACTGATGTACTTTGAAAGATAAATTATATATATAGTGGTGCTTTGAGAAATTGACAGGAATGAAAAAATGAAGCAGGACTCCTTCTAGCAAATAGGCTCTCTTTTCATTCAGTTAAGAAGTCAGAAACCTTTCTTACAAAGCAAGCTCTCCCCACCCCCCAAGCCACAAAAATTAGATCCGTTGGATAAACTAAATATTTTTAAATGTTCTTTGGTTTGTATCTGTAAACCATAGGATCCAGATCCACTGGACTTGCCAGTATACATTTACAAGGTAAAGAGTTAATTTGGTGTCTTTTTTTTTTCACTGATAAAGGCTTATCTTGTATTCTTCCAATCTTTCTTGTAAGCATTTCCTGAGAGGGGGTGTAAGCCAAGCAACATGGAGGATCTGCCTACAATACCTATCAGGGGAGGCCTTGCCTGTTTGGCCAAGGCTAGCAGGTCTTACATAATATTTTATTACAGTACCTTTCTGTTTCCTGGTCTGTGGTTTGCTGCTTGTTCTCAAAGCCAGTGAAGCTGCTCATATCCACATAGCCGTCATTCTCATTAGCAGCAGATAATGCCCTGCTGGGATCTTCAAAAAACTCAGTAAAAGTTCCTGCTCTGGTAGATCTTCGAGGAGGAATTTGTATGTTTTCATAGTCAGAGCTCATAGCAGCAATGTTCTCATA